CAGAGGCATTGTTCTAAGTGGGAAAGTTATACAGAACGTCTCTAGTCTCCTCAACGTCAGGAGTACTGTTATTACTGAGAAAGTTACAAAGTACAGATATCTCTATCAGAGGCATTGTTCTAAGTGGGAAAGTTATACAGAACGTCTCTAGTCTCCTCAACGTCAGGAGTACTGTTATTACTGAGAAAGTTACAAAGTACAGATATCTCTATCAGAGGCATTGTTCTAACTGTGAAAGTTATACAGAACGTCTCTAGTCTCCTCAATGTCAGGGGTACTGTTATTACTGAGAAAGTTACAAAGTACAGATATCTCTATCAGAGGCATTGTTCTAACTGGGAAAGTTATACAGAACGTCTCTAGTCTCCTCAACGTCAGGGGTACTGTTATTACTGAGAAAGTTACAAAGTACAGATATCTCTATCAGAGGCATTGTTCTAACTGGGAAAGTTACACAGAACCTGTCCTCATTATATCAAGTTAACACAGTAACTCTGTTCTCATTATATCAAGTTAACACAGTAACTCTGTCCTCATTATATCAAGTTAACACAGTAACTCTGTCCTCATTATATCAAGTTAACACAGTAACTCTGTTCTCATTATATCAAGTTAACACAGTAACTCTGTCCTCATTATTATCAAGTTAACACAGTAACTCTGTCCTCATTATATCAAGTTAACACAGTAACTCTCTCCTCTTTATAGACGATTTCCTTTCAGTCTTTAAGTATTATTTTTTCATCGGAATATAAGCAAAGATAGTGGACATAATATTGGGCAGGTTTAGTAATTTAGCATAGTGTTTAAGATTATTATTCTATTGACCTGATATTATTTGTTGTAGTGTGTGAATGGCAAAGAAACATACATTTGTTTATAAAACTATAATACGCTCATGTCACTAGTAATAATAGCCATAATGCCCGTGTTACAACTAATACAGAATACAATGTCTTATATCCAATAGCACCAGACGCTTGATATGACACACTCGTACTACAGTATGCTTAATAGCATTTGTTGTAAATCATTAACTTCTAACTCAACAATCTAGCTAAAACTCAAATAGTCTAAATTATGAATTATTAATACACACATTCCTGTATTTCTAATTAACCAGTTGTGTTTAACCAAGTTTTATGATCCATTACTACAGAATGATTTGAAAGACAAATCATTAAAGCTGATAATAAGATGACTAATAGTATATAAATCATAGAAAAATTGGTTTAGTATGCAAAGGTAAAAGAAATATTGTTTTTTTTTCCCCAGGTACCTGGTGGGCCGAAGATTAGTTAATTATGAACACAGAGTAAGTGGTAATTCTGGACAGAGGTCGGGTGACCCAGTTATGACTCTTTCCTAAAACCATATGTACAAATATGTAAATATGTTTTGTACATTTCCTCTGTGAATATTGAAAAAGAAAAATTTAATTTTTTGTACAGTTGGGGTTTGTTTCACCTTGATTAAAAACCAGAAGATACAGTTAATCTAATTAGAGCTTCCTGTTTCGTTTCCCTCTCAACAAAATTTCTAGATTTTAGTTTCCATCAAGCAGTGTTCATCTTCTATTTGTAAAGAAGCAAGTGATAGAAGCCTATTCAGCTGTCCAACCTGCTAATACCCAGTCAGAAGTAAAGATGTTGGACACACTTCAGAAAGAATATTTCTCATAACTTGTTAATCTTTTATCAGCTAGACCAATCACAACTGTACGTTGACTGTTTTTGCAGCTATGAGTTATGGATTCATGTACAATTTGTACCGACATGAGAAAACAAGAGTATTGTTATGTTTGAAGTTCTTTAAATTTTAGACCCACAGTTAATTTTCACTTTCAATATTAGACCTGTACATAATCCTCTGTTTACAGGTATAACCTTTTTTATCATTATATTTTTTTCTGTTAGTGATGTTTAAAATATCAATTCTTTGGTTTTCCAGTAAAAAACATGGATAGTTAAAGTTTTGAAAAGTTATTTTTATTACTTTTGTCAGCAGTATCGTTACCTTTTGTATTTAAACATTTATAATAAGGATAGTACTCTTCATGTTGGTGAGTTTAGAGGCTTTTTGCCTTCTTTACAAGAATGGTACCCTTAATATTAATAATTTCAGCAACATTCTGTGTAACTTTCTCAGTAATAACAGTACCCCTGACGTTGAGGAGACTAGAGATTCCTTATATCAAGTTAACACAGTAACTCTGTCCTCCTTATATCAAGTTAACACAGTAACTCTGTCCTCCTTATATCAAGTTAACACAGTAACTCTGCCCTCATTATATCAAGTTAACACAGTAACTCTGTCCTCCTTATATCAAGTTAACACAGTAACTCTGTCCTCATTATATCAAGTTAACACAGTAACTGGGGCAGAGTTACTGTGTTAACTTGATATAATGAGGGAAGAGTTACTGTGTTAACTTGATATAATTTTCTAGGAATAAAAGAAAAGTTTGTGATTCTACCATATGGAATATTAAATATCACATATATGTATATAGTTTTTTCTACAAACTGTGAATCAAAACTGGACAATTTAAGCAGTGATTAAGATAAAACAAATTATTTTGTTTTAAGTTATACATTTTTTGTACTTACTTGTCGTTTCTTATATGTTCATATAAATAAAAGAACTGCATCACTTGGAATACAATTATTCCTGCAATAACCACGGAAGCTAGCAAAGATGGGTAGATCCGTCTGAAGATCAAGTTCTGCATTTCAAACCCAGCACCTACAGCAGAAAATATAAATAGTCAAGTTTGTTGAACTAAGAATTACAGTGTCATTTCAAACCCGGCACCTACAGCAGAAAATATAAATAGTCAAGTTTGTTGAACTAAGAATTACAGTATTATTTCAAACCTGGCACCTACAGCAGAAAATATAAATAGTCAAGTTTGTTGAACTAAGAATTACAGTGTTATTTCAAACCCGGCACCTACAGCAGAAAATATAAATAGTCAAGTTTGTTGAACTAAGAATTTGAGTGTTATTGCAAATAATGTTAATAAACTACAGAAAATGTCATTTGAAGCGTTCGTTAATCATGTTTGGAACATACATAATACAAATACCTCATGCTAAACTGCTAGTGAGAAAATAATATGGAATTCTTGGAGCTTAACAAAAACAATGCTACAACTTCATATGACAGATGGGTCATCCAACAACAGTTAAAAAGTATTGCAAATCAGTTTTATCTTACAATATTGAAATTTTATGTTAATTTACGACAAATATTTTCTGTAAAAAATATATATCAAGAAGTTTGTTGAAACAAGGAACGACAAACACTATGAAACTCACTTAAATGTTCTGTGATAAATTATACTTTTCTTCATAACATAAGGGATTTCAGTTCTGAACTTACCAAACATAGGTAATATACTACAGGAAAACAAGTACGGCAGGGCAAGGGTTGAGCCCAAGGTGATGATAACTGGCAATGCCAAGTCCATGATTATGAGTTTCAAGCTGATGTTTCGAATGCCATCATGGTAAACCTAGTGTGATAAATAAGCTTGACATTGAACACCCAATATAAAATCCCATAAATATATCTAGTTGTAATTAAGTATTATTTATACTTGAATTACATGTGATAGATAACCTTCAAAATTCAACTTGCTTAAAAGACAAGTTACAGTTTTTTTGTTAGTTTTAAGTATTATCATGATATAATTTCTTTGATGGATAAATTTTACAAGGAAAATGTGATCTGAAGGCTGACACTAGAAATTACATAAGAAGTATTTAGACACATAAATATATGAACAACAGAAGATACTAATGCTAGAAATTTTTCTATCCTGTTCAGCAGACTGTATTTGCACAATTGTTTTCTTACTTTGAAAATTGTGCATTTTCATGAACACAAACTGCAACAACCAGTCTATTCTACTCAGTCACATGACAATGACTTATACCGGTGTCAGTATATTCCAAACCCCATTAGCAACAGGGTTAAGATACATATAAACAAAAAACACAAAACTACAGCACTTTTGGTTAACCAGAGCACAACGACTTTTAGAAAGTTATATTCAAAATTTAATTGAAGTACTTTGTTATTAATGTATGCAAATAAACTTTGCAGCCAAATGTAATTAACAAATTAAGTTTTAATATTATATGAGTCTTATGTTTTTTATTTCAGAAGGAAGTATATTAACAAATCCTCAATTTTATCTAGCATGAGAATTGTTTTCTACATTTTCCCTTTTATCTAATTTACATACTACCTACTTAAATAACAGAATTTAATGTAAATTGCTCATTGTAATTTAGATACTACTGATGTAAAGTCTAATTCAATCATCTTTGTTTACAGAGATATAAGCTAGAAAGTCCAACCAACTTGCTACTCCCACCTATCACATCCTCTCTTTTACAAATTGCCAATAATTCCTTTGGAAGTTTTATAACTAATAGAATGATAAAGTTTTAATCTATCAAATGTACTCTATATTAAATTGTTTTCAGTACAGAGTATTGTCTATTTCATATTCAGTTTCAAAGTTTTTCTTGAAGTGTCCAGATCAAGAAACTTAATGAAATATTTCAATTCTTATACAATAAGTAAAAATCCAGTTAAATTGCAATACTTAGATGACAGTTTTGTTTGTGCATGTTAATATTCTGTACTTTTAGGTGCATTATTTGATGTACTAGTACCACCAGTATAAAAATTAGGCTTAATTTTTATTGGCAACTGACAACAAATGCGGTGAAAGGTAGGTGCTAACTTTCTTGTTTTTTTTATTTATTTATTGTTATAAAAGTGACTTAAAATGTTAAAATTAAACATGTTAGGTAAGGTTGGAGTAGGTTAAATAATGAAAAAAGTTATAATAATTCTCCACAAGATATATGCTTGCAAGTATCTCGTGTGTTTGTCATTCAATATGGTAACTTGAGCAACTTCTGTGGCAGGATTATTTATTAGAAATGGTTCAAAGGGCAATAAAAAATAGAATTAAGCACAAACACATGTAAACTGTTACAAGCCTTAAACTATACAGGATAAACTAATGTAGTTTCATCTTACAATTTCCAGTCATTCTAGAAAGGAAAAAGTAAATTTAGATTTATTTGGTATTTTTTTATGGTGAGTACGGGTTGGTCAAATCAAACAAGTCCATACATAGTTAGGGCAGAGAAAATAACAGATAAAATATGAAGTTTTACTGAAAAAAACATTTGGTGTTTAGGAAATTATACAAACGAAATTTGAAAATTTTAAGATGAAGAAAAGTATTTTTAATCTTAACATGAAAATCACTTCACATTCACAGCAGTCAACATTCTGACTCCATATATTCATGGATAAAACTTTATTAAAAAATTGATTTTTTGTGTAGAAAAGACTTTTAATATTTACATGAAGATACCGGTACAACATTAAAAGATATAGTATGGAAACTGATGGTTACTCGGGGTTACATGTAATCCACCGATCCTGTATGGAAAGAATTAAATGTGATGACATCACAAATATCCTAGCCATAAACTGTTTTTGAATTTACCTTGTTTACAGTTAGTGATGAAAAATGAGATTCCCTGAAATATCATTTAATTAGTGTATACAGGGCATTTTAATACAGTAATAAATGACCATACAACACCAAATGTTTCATTGTTTTTATTGGACACTCAACATTTCACTCTACATCTTCTTCAGAAGCATTCCACTAAAACACAAACTGTAACTAAATAAACTCTAATATAATCTATACCATACAATTCTACAGTGTACATTTGACATATTAATAGTCTATACCATACAATTCTACAGTGTACATTTGGCATATCAAGTAGTAATATAGTCTATACCATACAATTCTACAGTGTACATTTGGCATATCAAGTAGTAATATAGTCTATACCATACAATTCTACAGTGTACATTTGACATATCAAGTAGTAAAGCTTATTGTTGAAATAATAAACTGCTGGTTGTAGTAAATAAACGTTTTAAGTTAAAGATTGAAATAATAAAAGTTAAGATGAAAAAAATAATTATAATTATAGACACCATCCTTTGTTCCTATTTATTCGTGGACATAGTTGTTCAATGACAAGAGATTCTTCAAATTTTTTGTTGGTTGACTACGTAGCTTTGGTGAGGATTTGTACAGAGAAAAGTGGTTTCATGTCGGGCATGTGACCTGATAAACAACACTGGAGACAAGACACCCATCAGTTTACTACAGGCAGCAGGTGATTATTTCAACAATAAGCTTAAAATGTCAAAAACACACCGTAGACTGAATTAAAATATATTATTTAAACCAACTAAAGCTTTGTACTGTAGTTATGGTTTGTGTTTTAGTGGAATGATCTTGAAAAAGCTATAAAGTGAAACACCAAATGTCCAATTACAGAAAAATAACAAACTTGGTATTATAAGGTCATTTATTTCTAGCATAAATTCCCTGATACTTGTTTAAATCAGAGACTTGTAATAAAACAGACTTGATTCTCTTTCACCACAACATACGCATCTAATGGTAAGAAAAACTATAATATTGAAATGAGTAGGTCTGTTAAAAATATTACTCAATAATTGGTAATATGTATTGTTTATTTTACACATATCCTTATTTCTGAAGATAGTTAAGTGGGAGAGGCACTAGAAACACTTTACCATTTCAGTGATCAATAAAAGTTTATTTACTGCAGAAGTACCAAACCATCTGAATAAACATCTTGTCCTGATAGTCTTAAACCTACTTGAGCTCAGAAAAAACATAACTACTTTATGAATACTTTCTTGGTCTAGCATCAAAGAAGTTGAAAAAACACCTTGTAACCAACATGTAACTGTGAAACTATACATACTATAACTTTGAATGTACTAAGTTTATCTTCACAAAATTGGGCAACTTACTAAAAATTTCAAAGTGTATTTTACACACACACACACACGAAAGAATAAACAGATTTTTGGATAAAGTATTTTGACCTTCTTGCATCTGCTTTCATTTAATCTTATATTTTTAATGCTGTACTTTGGACCCTCTCTGATGTGAAAACCAATAAATCACAGTGGAAATGCTTGGGGTAAACAAATGATCAGGTAACAGCATATGCCACATGTATCGTGAGTTTTGCTCTTGAGTGACTTTGTGAAATTTTGGATTTAATCTTTTTTTCACTTAAGTTTTGTTACCTAAGAAATTTCTAATTTTAGTTACTTTTGTTAAAGGTATGTATCAATAAGGAAAAAATATACATAAAAAATAATAAATTTAGCACTTACTTTAGGCATTGAAGCAATATGCACTCACAGTCCATGCTTCAGTAACCCTAATTATTTCTTACTATGTTGGTTGTCCAAAAAATGATTCATGTAGCTTTCTAATACGCATTATAGGACACAAAAAATTCTAATTAATCTACAAGTAGCAACAACATTGCTCAACATATCAAGCTTTTCTTATGAACTACTGTCTATATCCATAAAAAACTAAACACACTAACTTATGCTTCCTGTACATTACAATATGCTTTTGCTATTGTTTATAATTATATCCATGAAAAGGTGTATTTTACAAATATAATGATATCTCAGAAAATATTTTTCTTTGTCAATAGGTGTTCTTTGCATTTCTAATTTGTTAGACAGTGCAGAAGCTGTATTGTTGAAGTTACAAAATCTAAATGAGAGAAAGACTAGAGGGCAGATATATTGTGAGACAGAAAAGTGAAGGTTCAGAATTTGTTTAATATTTCCTTTTTGAATTAACCCTAATGTGACAGGCAACCTTTACTGTGCATATCATAAGATTTTAGTAACATTCATTCAACTTTATATTAATTTATTTTTTATGTTATACCAATTAGTGTAACATAAAATCTTAGCTACTAATCCATATTTTAATAATATACAAGTTTTTTATGTTCTTAATTTCATAATGCAATATTTAAAAAAATCCTGAATTGCTCCAAGTGAGACACATTTTCTCTTCTCTATTTTATCCACCACTCCTCCAATAAGTACGAAATTCAATGTAAATTACTTACTATAAAATTGTCATTGCTCAGACAAATCATCATTTTTATACCCTTCAATTTTGTTTGGTTATAGAGCTATCAAATAGAAAATCAGACCCATTCCATCACACCCACTTGTCACATCCACTCTTTCACAATTTGTTAATAGTTCTCTCTCACGTTTAATTCTATATTATCTATAAGCAATAGAAAGCCAAGGTTTTCATCTATCAAATGACATATTACATAACATTGTTTTCTGAATGTAGAATTGTCGATTTCACTGTTAGTACAAGTTTTGTTCCCATTGCAAAGATAATGACTAGCTTAGATTTATTTGTAACAGCTCTTGTCACATAGTTAGAAAACCAGAAAAACTGTGAGAGTTAGGGAAAATCGTCTACTTTTTGAATGTTATTATTCACTGTTCTTTGGTGAATTATTTAATTAGATAAAAATTATTTAGTGCCTTACTACCATTAGTATAAAAAAGTAGGGTTAAGTGTCA